GGAAGTTGATTTCAAAGGGCTCGGAACTAGAGGAATTCATGTATTTAACAGTTTAAACCAAATAGAGATGTAAGCAGAAATTTGACAAGCCCTGGCAGTGTCGATTTTTGGATTGCTAATTCTCTGCTCTCTTAATATAGCTGAGTTTCCAAATCTGATGCGCTCTTTCACTCTCGCTGTTTCTCCTCTAATTTATTTCTCTTTCTCAATCTTGAAGTTGTGAAGGCCTAAGTGGACCCACCAGTATTTGAATCCTGATCCGTTTAGTCATGAGTCTGGTGCTGAACCACCTGCATTTTTTGGGTTGTAAGACAGGGATCCCTGAATAGCAGTAAAGAGTTAGGACGCTTTCTTTATTCCTTTCCCCACCCCATGCCTAACACTGATGTTTGAGAGCAGTTGTTGGCCTGCTACTGCCACTGGTGGAGATCGGTAACCCCACATAGATGAAGGATTGAAACTGGGATCTTCTTGGGCTCTCTGTGCACGAGGCAGAATATTTTCCTATTGACCAGATGACAAGTAATTTAATTTTCTTCTGTGCATGGTTGCCAATGTGGGATATTGGCAGCATTCTTACTGTAATCGATGTGCATGGTAAAGTGTCAGGATGGTTCATTTGGTACCACTCTCACCTCTGAGTCAAGGTTGTAGTTTCAAACCTAAATTGGGACTTTAAGATCATTATCTAAGATGACAATTCATGCTGGAGGAGTGTGGGAGGTGCAGTCCTTTGAATAACACGTTTAACTGAGGGCCGATCTGCTGGTTCAGGTGGATGTTAAAGATCTCATAATACGGTTCTGAAAGAGAAGGGAATTTCTCACAATGTCAAGGCCTGCAATTCTACAGACGAAATTGGTCATCTATTTTGTGTCGGTGGGACATTGTGTGCAAATTAGTTGTCAAGCCACCATACTTTACAGTAAATCCTGCAAAGCTTTTTGAGATGTTTTGATAATGTGATAAGGCGCTACATCAAATGCAAGGACTATAAAGGAAAAGCAATGCTTAGTGTGGTGATGGAAGGTTTTAAGTTAATCTCTTGTAGAACCACTAACTGAAAATTATTCACACAAAGCCATTGATAAAGACATTGATTCTAAACCTAATTCCTGGAGGATAACATTTCTCTCAAACCATTGATCATTCCTATTTTCCTGTGTCAGTTCTTGAAAGCTGTTCTACATTTCTGCTTTCCTGAGAGAAGATTAATGGTATTTTGCCTCATTTTTCCGACCTAGCTAAGAATTCATTAAATGCAATTCACTTGATCATTTCCATGCCGCCTTGAACCCCATGTAGTTGGCTGTTGTGCTTTTTGAAGTATTTGCTTGAGTCTAACTCATCAATATTGCTAAATATGAACACAAATCCTTGCCAAAATGTGTCCTATATGGTTTACAAAGTATCAGATTATGTGACCCATTTAGGAACTATTTCTTTACCCTCACCCCCCCCCGCCCCACCCCAAAATAAATCTTCTGTCAGCGGTGGGGAGTCCTGTAGCTCAGTGGTTAGAGCACTCGCCTCGCAAGCGAGAGATCTGGGTTTGATTCCTGGCAGGGTGAAAACTTTCCTTACTCCACACGCCTGATAATAATCAAAAAGAAAAAAAAATAATTTGGTAACTCAATCCACGACTGTTTGTGGGATGCTGCTGTGTGCAATAGGCTGCCGTATTTCGCCCACAAATATACAGTCAATTCACTTTACAGTGTATTCTGTGAAGCGTTTTGAGATGTTTAGAAGACGTGAAAATCGCTATATCAAATGCAAGCATTATTATTATTATTGATGTGTAAGATAGATAATGAATTTTGGTGGATTATTCAACCACAGAGCAAATGGAACTTGATCTGTCATCACCTGGCTTCATTTTCTATAACGGTGTCCAACTACTGACTAAAGCCTTAAAGTGTAGGGTCATCCTAGATGGAAAAGCAGCGGAAAGCTTGCTTTCAAAACAGTGAAAAAAAAGTGTTTGGAAAACAGTGCTTTCAATGGAAGCTATCGTTTTTAGCTGGTTAAACTCCAGCAATGCTGCATTGCATACCTTGGGGTCCCAAAGCCTTTACTCTTGATAGCCTGTAGGCTGTTGCATTTCACCCACAAAATACACAGTGAATCCACTTTGCGACATATCCTGTGAAACGCTTTGAGTCGTCTCAACATGGTAAGGTGCTAGAGTAAATGTAAGGATTGTTATTACTATAATATTCTCCGGAATTAAGTAAACAGAATGCTAACCTCCAGGGAGAGAGTTCACAATTCATTCCAATAAATATCTCAGGAATTTCCATGTGAAGTGGGATGTATGGAACTCTGTTTGGTTTGGATATTCTTAAGCATGGTTGATGGGTTTCTACAGGTGTCTGACACCCAGCTGACGAAGAAAAAAGTAGTAACCCACATACCTCAAGTCTGGGCACACCTGAGGCCACTTATAGGTGCCTGAAACAAACATTTTATGTGAATGAGTTAGTTGGTGGGTGAGAGAGAGGTGTTCAGTCAAGCCTCATATTAAGACTCAATATTATAGTCTCGTATTATAAACTTACTATTGCACTCCCAAAAAGTAATTGCTAATAGGATAGGTGCATAAATAATAATCGTTATATTTGGTATAGCACCTTTCACATTGGAAGGACGTGTCAAAGTGCTTGATCTGATATGCAGTGCTGATATACTGTAAAGCGGAGTGATTGTGCGTTTTGTGGGTGAAATAGCTCGACTTGCTATTTTTTAATAGATTACTACTTTAATTATATTACTGTTTATTGACTATATGTTGTGGGTCCGTGTTGGTGCAAGTGATTACTATATTTGTGGAGTCCTGTAGCTCAGTGGTTAGAGCACTCGCTTTGCAAGCGAGAGACCTGAGTTCAATTCCAGGCAGAGGGCGAAACCTTGGGCAAGTTTCCTTACTCCACACAGAGCCTAATAATAATCCCTCCAAAACCAAAAATAATAATAAATTGGTCATTTTCAATCCACGACTGTTTGTGGGACATTGCTGTGCGCAATTGGCTGCCGCGTTCGCCCACAAATATACAGTCAATTCACTTTACAGTGTGTTCTGTGAAGCGCTTTGGGACGTCGTCCTGACGTGAAAAGCGCTATATCAAATGCAAGGATTATTATTATTATTATTATTTTCCTGTCAAGTAAAAAATTCACAAAATTTATAAAATGTAGCTTCATTTTTTTTTGAATGCACTTACCTTAGATCTGGGGTAATATGTCACATTTTCTTACCATTCGTGCAACTGAACCTAAAGTACACAACAAGAACAACAAAATTGCATTTGTATAGCACCTTTCAAATCAGGAGGACGTCCCAAGGCGCTGGACAATAGATGTTTTGGACTGAGCTGGGAGTCGGGAGGGTGGAGGGTGAAGGCATGGGTGGAAGGAGGGTGATCGAAGGCACAGTCGAAGAGGAGGGTCTTCGGATGGGTCTTAAAGCAGGCGAGGGAGGGGAGAAGCGGAGGGACTGCTGGATGGAGTTCCAGAGTGTGGGGGCAGAGTGGCTGAAGGCCGGCCCGCCAAACGTGGGGCGGGCAAGGTGGGGAACGTGAATAGTTGTGGGCCAAACAAGACCCCAAGGTTCTGGACTGGCTTAGCAAGGTGGAGTGTACAGCCTTGGATGGTGATGCTGCCAGTACCTGAGGTGTGGAGGCGCTGGCGGGAGCCAATCAGGAGAGCCTCAGTTTTGTTGACGTTCAACTGTAGAAAGTTAGCTCTTATCCAGGACTCGATTTCCGACAGACATTCTGTCAGGACAGCAGTGGTCCTGGAGTCATGGGTGGAGGCAGAGAGGTAGAGTTGGGTGACATCCGCATATATGTGGAAGTTGACTCCCATGTCTGCGGATGATGCCACCAAGAGGAAGCAGGAGGGGACCATGGGCAGAGCCCTGAGGAACACTGCACAAGACGGTGCGGGGGCTAGAGGAGAACCTACTATCCCCCCACGTACCTGCCCGTACCCTCCGTTCCTCTGGCTCCGGTCTGCCCCACATCCCCCACCCTAACCGCCTTCAGCCTCTCAGCCCCTAGGCTCTGGAACTCCATTCCCCAGTGTCTTCGCCGCCTCCTCCCTTTCCTCCTTCAAGGCTGGTCTCAAGATCTTTCTCTTCATCCGTGCCTTCAGCTCCCCTCTTGACTCTGCCCCCTCCTCGCTCCCTCCCTTCCCTCCCCCTGACCATTTCCCCCCTGCTCGGGTCCTGACCCAACTGTCCAGGGCCTTGGGACGTTCTTCCGACTTGAAAGGCGCTCTATAAATGCAATCTTGTTGTTGTTGTTGAGAAACCGTTTGTGAGATGAAGTGGAGGCTGTGTGAGAGGTATGATCTGAACCATTCAAGGACAGAACCGTGAAGGTTGAGGTGAGAGGAGAGGCAGTGGAGGAGGATAGAGTGGTCAACTGTATCGAAAGCAGCAGAGAGGTCAAGGAGGATGAGGAGGCAGAGGGAGCCCTGGTCGCAGATGGACAAAATGTAATTTGTCACTTGGACCACAGCTGTTTCTGTGCTATGGGCAGCACGGAAACCCAATGTCCTTATTGAGCCATTTTGTCTGTCCAGTACACACATCGTTTTGCTGAAATAACTCAACAAGCTTTGCTGTTCGGAAGCATCTGTTTCAATGCAGATGGCAGTTTTCTGACTTGTATGAATCACAGAGCCAGTGTTATCTTGTTTTCAGTGGTTTCCCCGCCAGTACACATTTAGCCAGAGGTAAATGCTTTTTTCTTGTATGGTACTAAAGTAATTGCTGCCTTCACAACATGGTGAGAATTGCATACATGAAATTAGTTTTTTTTCTCTTAAAATTCACAAAGCATTAACATAGTGCCGAGAAAATCTGTGATGGGCTGAGCGAGCAGCTATGTGGCTGCAGCAGCTGAGTCAAAACAGATGAAAAAATTAGGTTCTACTTAACAAATGTGGCACATGAAGAAACTGCAATTTCACAGGGGCTTAATGGTTTGTTTCAGATGGCCGCAATGAGATTGCCACAGATGATTCAAACTTTAATCGAAGCTACGTGAAAAAGAAATTAGATCATGGCCTTTCACGCATCTGGCAGGTTTGTACTTCATTTTAGTAAATTATATTTAAAAAAAACTTCTAGTCCACAGGTAGTTTATTCTTCAACTCATTGAGGGAAGGGGAATGCTGTTCAGACTACAGAAGCCCTTAATTATTGTTTACTGCAGCTTCTAATGCAAACCAAATTGCGCATACATTTAGTGATTTTTAAAAATATGAATTTCTGTGTAACATTCTCTGGTTAACACATAACCCCTGAATGAAGGTTTGTGTAGAAGGCAAATAAATCTGCCTAATAAGCAGATATGTAATTTGTTTTGCTTGGTCTGACCTTTTATGGAGCTCTGTACTCTGACATCATTCCATAATCCTGTATTACACCTGATTAAAGTGATCCCTTCAAGCTTGATTTTAATACTTCTGCTGAATAATTATAGTCATTGCAAAGTGAGGATTACTGAAGGGAACAAGTCTCCATTTGATAATGGTTTGCTTTTATTACATAACTGTCTTGAGTGCAGTTGAGCTGCGTTTACTTTATCTAAGTTGCCCATGAACAATTTCATGATTTCTTGTATGTTTGTTACATTTGTAAGTGAATGGTTAGTTTCAAATACAAATGGTAAATTTTAAACGCCTTGTATTTTCAACTTCAATGCTCTGTGATGTACAGAAAGTTATTTGCTGTTATAACTGCTGGGTTCATCAAAATCATTCATCCCTGTGTTACCATCATGACACATTATGTGGAGCGCTGTAGCCACCAAAATCTGCCTCACGAAAAGTACCTTTTCACAGCAGTAAGACCTTCCGATAAGCTTAATATCTTACATTATAATTTAAAACGGCTTTTTAACATTCAAATTTCTTTTGGGACATTAGATCATTATTATAAATGTTGTTCTACAACACCATTTGAAAACTTAAAATAAAATGCTTTGTTCAAATATATTTTAACTATTGTTTCCGAGTAAATTACTGACTAGATTCATAGAATGTTGGAGTTATGCAACAATTTCTTCATTAGTGTCATGAATAGCAGTTCCTTTGTATGCAGTTACAAATTCAACCTTGGTGTGAGGCTAGCTTACACTGATGGGATAAAAGTTTTCTCTTCATTGACTTGGGATCTTGTCCATGAAATGCATTTTGGACATTCTCAGCCTAGTTCCTGGTGATTGCTCACCCGCTGAACAAAAATTGACATTAATAGTCACCAAATTGACAATTTCATTACAAGGATGGTTGGTGCAGAAAATGGAAATATCATATAGGAGCAGTAAAGGGTGGTGACCTGAAGTTTATTATTACAAAAATATTTTCTAGAAAATCTTAGTAGATGATATCCACTGATTTAACTTTTAACAAACAAGAATTCCAATAGATTGTGAATCTCTGCCTGTTGTAAATTCATACTGTCCTATAGCTCCATATCTTTAATTGAGTATTGGTAACATTTGATAAAAAATAGCATTTTCTCTACCACTGATGTTAGCCTAACACATTTATAGTTAACAGGTTCTTGCCTCAATCTTAAATAATGGAATTCACTTTACAGTATATTCTGTGAAGCACTTTGAGACGTCTTAAAGACGTGATGAGGTGCTATATCAAATGCAAGGATTATTATTATTAGAAGTGAAGTAGATTTGAATGTCATCCACATACATGGGGAAATTAACTCTGTGTCAATTGATGACGTTGCTAAGAGGAAGCATATAGATGAGGAAATTTATATTTGTGTTTGCACATGATTAGCACAACCGGAAATTAGATCCCACTGGAGACGATGTTTTATGTAACTAAGATTGTAATCATTTGCTTTACAGGATGTCCAGTTAAAAGCAAAAACGTATTTGCTTGGAACAGATTTATCAAACTTCAAATATGATGATTTTATTTTTGTACTGGACATTATCAGCAGGTATTGTAACTGTATTCATACAACTCATTACCTTTGGGAATCACAACTTAACCAGATCCTAAGTGTGTTTAAGATTCAATGTATATTTTTTAAACATTTATATTATACTATCTGGCATCTTCAATGAGTGCTCATTAATTAAATCAAATATCTTTTGATTCGTTTCATCTGCATTTGAATTAACTTTAAAAGTTTATTCAGAAGCAAATTGTGCTCTAAGTTCAGATGTGATTACTTTTGTTTTGTACATTTCTTACCCTTCCCCTTGTCCTGTGTTAGCTGTCTGCTAAGTTGCCAAGCAGCTGTTCGTCATATATGAGATCAGATGTGAGATCACACAGCTTACTATTCACCATTACAGCAAAGCTTGATTCTAACCTCACCTAACATCCACAGGAACATTGTCCAACCATATTCAGTGGATTGTTGTCAGAAACAGTGTCCTTCAATATAGCTGTCTTGCGTCCACCTCCACCCACTCTTAACTGGAAGTACCTGGCTCTGGTACTACATAAATGACCATCTTCCAATTGACAGATCGCCGCTGACATCACTTTGTAACAGAAGTGATAGCTGAGTTACTTCCTGCTTCTAAAGCACATACACAGTTAGACATTTGTTTACACCTTGCTGACTTGTATCCAGCTTATAGTGAGGTTTTTCTGTATACAGGTTGTTTAATTGAATAGAGAAATGAAACTCATAAAAATAGTTTGACATATGTAAAGACAGGAGTTGGTAAAGTGCAAGTTGAGGACAGATACAACACACCAAATAGATTGCAAGAATGGGTGGTTGAGACCAGGGAACTGGAAGAGGCAAACTAAAGCCCCTCTTAGACTTTGCTCCTCATTGTTAGATCACAATATCATTTAGCCACTAAGATGTCAGGGAAATTGCTCAGTTATGTTTCATTTGGATGTAGTTACTTGATTTAATGTGTGTCTTAAAATGTCATCATTATTTGTTGTTTATTGACCAGACTGATGCAAGTTGGTGAAGAGTTTTGCGGCAGTAAATCAGAGGTGTTACAGGAATCTATCCGGAAACAAAGTGTGAATTATTTCAAAAACTATCACAGGTAAAGTTTGTTACATCTGCATAAGAATTTACTTTGCAGAACAATATGGGCAAACCTTCTTAATTTACACCTTCTAAATAAACTAATACATTGCTAATGTTAGTTAGGAATGTTACGGATGCATAAGAGTTATCAGTAAATGTATTAAGATAAGTAAATTAATCACTCGTTTTAATGGATTCTTCATTTTCATGGAATGCATAATTAAGTTCCTAAGAGTCCAGGAAGCTCAACTGTTATTTCTTTCATTTTTGTGAACCAACTTCCCACCAAGATAATGAAATGTTTAGCTGAAGTTTGTTCCATTGAAAACTCAAAAGCTGAAATTCACATAAACATAATCTTTTCCATGTTATATTCTGTTTAATCTCTTTATAATTACATTTATATATTATATTGCATGCACAGTGATACTTTTAATGCATTCTCTAAATAATTAAATAGGTTTTCCATTTTTCCTTAGGTTGTATATTAATCAAAACGTCATGTTTTCTTCAAATTGAATCAAACTACTTTTCACAATAGACTGTTACAGGGTCAATTGATTGTGGAATTCTGGTACAAATTCAAACTGAGAACCAGATTTGTGTGGTTTATACAACTTTCAATTTGACTGCATCACAATTTCTATCTAGCTGGCACTCATGTAATAATGTGCCAATTTTGTCCACAAGAAATTAAGGGTGAGGAAGATGTCCACATGATGGACAATAAATTTCCTATGATGGTATGCACCCCTTATTTGGGAGAATGTTGTAACAATAGTCCATTTCAATGCAGGAAGACCCACATCTTGTATTTATATGTGAACATTATAATATAATAATCTTCACATTTGATACAGCACTTTTCATGTCAGGAGGACATCCCAAACTGCTTCTCAAGATATACCATAAAGTGGAGTGGCTGTGTGTTTTGTGAGCGAACATGAGAGCCAGTTTGCACACGGCAATGTCCCACAAATAGCATTTGAGTCATTCATTCCTAAAACATAGACAAAACAGTTTATTCCAGGGATAAAAAACAGACCCATAACTTGTGTATTTTCTGGCTGGACAAATGTTTAAAATAGAAACTGCTGTCTCAGTGTTTCTCCTTGTGTTTTGCTAAATCTTTTTTTAAAAATAGATTTGTCTGCTAGCACATAAAAAGATTCTTGAAGAAAGGATTCCACTCCACACCCATATTACCCGAATGAAAATTCCTCCAATTTCCACAATGAATGTTGAGACGGTCAACATTTTCAGCTTGGAGTAGCAATCTATTCCATAAATCAAGGAATACAAGTATGCTAAATTCAGGTCACAGCCATGCCAGTTTATAATGATTTCTGGATAGTCTATCAAAATCTTGCACAAATTCCTTCATACATTCACCATATTGATTTCCTTCATTAAAATAAAAACTTGAATGACATTTCCCCCCTTCCTATTCTAATTGTATGAACTTTGACTGTGGGTAGCACCATGATATTTGATGATTGGAGCAGAACCCTGGGATACCATTGGGAAACAACCTTCCACCATCTGGTTCCATAAAGTGCTCATCACCCAGTTATTTTCTCCATCCATTTAATTAAAGGATGGAGCAGAGACACAGAGAAAAAAGGAAAAGTTTAATCAGATACAAAACTAATAAGCATCATTATAACTATTCAAATCAGACAAAGAACCAAGAGCCAGGAAAGGACGGGCTTTCTTTGGGTCAGCATGTGTTAGCTAGCTCAGTTGGTAGCACTCTTGCCTCTGAAGGTTCAAGACCCATGTCAGGACTTGGAATCATGCTTGATACAGAATTATCACTAATGCTTGTTGTTTCATAGTATGAATCTTAGAGGAGAACTACTGGAATTGATGCAGAAATTGCATCATCCAAAAGAGTACTTTTAACATGTGCTGACAGGTTGACTATGGGTCTCAAAATGATCTATCTATAGGGCTGTCAATAGATTGATTCAAGAGATTAGCATGGATTGCCCACAAAATACACAATTAATGCACTTGCTAATATCAATCTTGTTAAGATTATTGTATGTGTAAATGTCAACAATCTAATTATATTATATTCCCTCTGTATATGCATTTATATAGAACACGTCTTGAAGAACTGCGAATGTTTTTGGAAAATGAAACCTGGGAACTTTGCCCTGTCAAGTCCAACTTCAGTATTTTGCAGTTACATGTAAGCAATATTTGTCAAGTTTATCGACCCTCTGGAGCAAACTTTAACTCTCAAGGAGATAATATCATTGCAGGAATAAGTGGTTCTTTCAATGAGTTTTTCTTTGGCAGTGGTTATTTCCTTTGCGGATCACAAATGGCAATAAAAAAAACTCAAATGGTAGTGTATTCTGAAAGGTATGAACTGTATTCAAAATATTTATGCTACCAATAGCTCATTTTTTGACTCAGTAGACAAGTACCCCATGTCAGATGATCCTAAGCTGTGCGGATAAGAAAATCCTGGTAAGATCCTTGATCAATGAGTCTGCTGGTTGTAGCAGTGTAGATGTCTGATATGGGCAACATCAGGGTTGGCTGTGATGCACACACAGTTGAAAAACTGGTTGACGCTCAATGTCTGAGCTCAAAAATGAAGAATCATAAGGGAGACATGTTCATCTTAAGTTACTGCTTTCAGGAGAGGAGGCAGAGAAAAGAGAGTATAGTAACAGAGAAAGGTACTGCACATTGAGTTTCCTGTAAATTGCAGATTACCTCCTAATAAAACTGCAAAATTAAAATTGCAGTCATTAAATCTCTTGTCTAAGGGTCCTCAAAAAACATCAGGCTAAAATACAAACTGACTGAAAATTGAAGTAAACCACCCAGGTAAAGTAAAATAAATTACTGCAGTAAATAACTGAATCCTTGCAGTGATTTCAGTGATATATTTTAATTGTCTGAACCTAAGTTGAACATTACTTTAATTTACAATTAAACAGTACATGAAGTTTTCAATTAGCTTTTTGCCGCATAAACTTGTAGCTGTTCTTAACTCTCAATGATATGAGTTGTTCAAAGACCAATGTATTGTTTTTTCAGAAATGTCTGATGGTTTTCTGAAACCTGCAAGATATGTTGCTAGTTGCCCTAACATAGTCCTTAAAATCTTAAATCCATCCTTACAGATGATCGTATTATGAGTCCTGTTATATACTCGGCATATTGCTATTTACTGTAGTGCTGTATTTTATGGTGGTTTTACCTGGTTTCTTAATTTGCATGTTTGTGTTTTATAGGAAGTTTGTAAGAGCAGAAACCTGTGTAACCATTTATTGGAACAAGTTTGATATGTTTAATGACATGTATTGAAGTCAATTTCAGTTGTTCCGTGTTCTTTGCTTTGAAAGTAAACTTAAGTGTTTCTTGACATTCGTGTCTGGGTAGAAATACAGTTTAACTTTCATTTTCTTAAGTCTTAACCTATTTAAAGGGTCTTAATGATATTTTATTGCTTTTAGGAATTTAAATTTATGCGGCAGTCGCGATCCCCTTCAGTCTCACCCAGCAAGCAACATACTACAACATCAGCAACAGCAGAGTCCCTGTTTGCTCAGTGCCGTAATGGAGGAAATCCATTTGAAATGCAGACTGACATCAAAGATGATGAAACAGAAGATGTTCTTGCCTCTAATGGGGTATGGTGGTCTCTATTTATAGTAACATGTAAAGGGGAACATTTTTAGAATGGGTTTGGAGTAGCAAAGGCACCATCTGCAATAAAATTGTTAATTCAGAAGCCGTTGTGGTGCTTTTTAAAGACAAATCAAAGTAGATACATTTATGGACTTATCTTCACCTGTCATCATGCCTATTTTCACAATGTGACCATTTCTAATATGTGCCGAAGTCAGTGTTTGATTGATTCAATAGATTAGCAGCTTAATTCCTGGCAGCTGCAAAAATAGGCTACTAAATGTGGTTGAGAGTTTGTCTTTTTTTCAAATGGTTTTTGATGCAGCCCACAAATCAAGGAAAGGTGTTCCTGCAGTTATCACCTTTACAGACCACCATCTGCTATAAATAAATTCCATCTTCGGTTGCTCGTAAGGAAAAGCACATGCTTAATTATGGCGTAATAAAGTCTGATTGTCACCTTTGACACCAGAATGTTAACAACTACAAACATTCACTGTAGACCCACAGTATTACATTTCTCGTTATTATATTGCTAATGACACACCAGTTTATAATTGGTTCTTTTCAATTTCCCATGTTAAACTTGATAAGCTGCATAACTTGTAGAAATGGTATCTAATGCTATAGCTATTATTATTTCTACTCCCCTGGAACACACGGCTCACAATTTAGATGGTAGTGAGACTAATTGAGTAAAATTCTACCTGGCTCTAGATTTACTCCATTAACATAGCATTTCAGAGTTGCCCAGAATTCGGTGAATCGTTAAATTCAGCCTTAACTTTGAAACCATTTTCTGTGGTCCTTAAAAAATCTTACTAAAAAGGCTTCAAGATTATAATAATGATAATCCTTGAATTTTTTGCATTTGATACAGCATCTTATAATGTCTTTCAGACGTCTCACAGCATTTCACAGAATATACTGCAGAATGAATTAACTGTGTATTTTGTGGGCGAAACGGGGCAGCCAATTGTGCACACAAGTGTCTCACAAACAGTCGTGGATTAAGTGACCACATTATTATTTTGATTTTTTTTGAAGGAATTATTATCCCCAGAAAAACGATCCACCAATCAATTAACAATCGGGTTTCTACTTACTGCGAGGTAAACAGAGGCGTGTGGAGTAAGGAAACTTGCCCAACATTTCGCCCTGCCGGGTATCGAACCCAGGTCTCTCGCTTGCGAGGCGAATGCTCTAACTACTGAGCTACAGGACTCCACAGTGAGACTATTGGCTGTATTTGAGAATTTGTTAAATCTGGGTATTCTGAAATGCTTCCTAAATAAAATAAATCTGGACACACTTGTAATTTTATTGCTTATATTCCTCGTACTCTCCGCTAATACTGGTGTGTATCCAATCCTGAAATTACAGAGAGGTGGCATAGTTTGACTTGCTGTATAGTTTTTCATTCAGTGAGAAAGAACATTAATCCAAAATGTAGCCAAACACCATCCTTATCTCCCCTGGTGGTCTGATATCTGTTTGAAATGCCGGTGAAAACTGTTGTTCTACAACTCAATTTGAGCTCTGCTCCCCATCTGAATGTCTTTCAGCACAATTTTAATTTACACATACAAGTAAACGATAAATGTTATTCACAAGTAAAATCAGAAAATAAGGAATTAATTTGTTGTTTTAGCCACAGAGATTTGTTGTAAAATACTGAAGATTTTCTTCAGTTCATTACATGTCTGTTGCTACACGATGCAGTTAATAATAATAATAATAATCCTTGCATTAGATATAGCGCCTTATCGCATCGTCAAACATCTCACAGGATATTGGTGTGTATGGTGTAGCTGAATGCGGCTACCAATTTGCAAACAGCAATGTTCTAGCGAACAGCCGTGGAGTGAGCGTCCAATCTTGTTTGTGGGGATTGTTGGCCATGACAGTGGTACATATGCAGACAACACTACATAGATCACACGTAACGTTTATGCTTAAGCAATACCAACATTCCATTCACTAGCAGAGGATTCCTAATCCCTAATGAGGACTGCTGGGATCTCTGCTCCTGACAAGTAGATTGTGTCAGAATGATGCTCCCACTTGTGAGCCTGACGCACTTATGATTACTGGAAAGATTTGCCATTCATGGAACTCAGATTCTTAAGAAATCATTTTCAGAAATATCACAAATTAGCCTCCTCTGTGCGGCAGTAGGTGATGAAGTGAAGCACTGAAAACTGACTGTGCAATTGTTTTTGTCCTCAGTATGAGTCTGATGAGTTGGAAAAGAGTGCTTACCAAGAGTATGACAGTGACAGTGATGTCCCAGAAGAACTTAAAAGAGACTATGTTGATGAACAAACTGGTGACATTCCTGTGAAAAGGTAGAATTAATATTCATTTTGTAATTTGAAAATGCATGTTTTTGATCAACTTGCACATATATTCCATTTAAAACGTCTGTCTGAACCCCCCATCCCACCCCTCGGAAAACGTACATTCATACAGCATCTTTCAACGAATACTCTTGAAGTATATTACAGAATGAGATTAATTACAAATGAAATGAATGTTATTCAGACAAACGTGACAGTTCATTTTTGCCAGCGATATGCTACAAACAACAGTGATAAGAGCAGCCATTTTGCATTTTTAGGACCAATTTGGATTGAGAAGAAAGTATTAGCCAAGACAACCAGGAGGAAATGTCTACATTTGTTTGGAACAGTGTTAGCAGTCCCCTTCACATCTATGAATCACAGGGCTCGACTACGCAAACTCCCTGCTTGTCAGCCTCCCCAACTCCTTCCTTCATAGGCTGAGAACATCCAAAACTTTATAGCCTGTGTCCTCTCCTGCACCCAGCTCCGTAACCCTATCACCCCCATCCTCGCCCGGCTCCACTGGCTTCCCATCACTCAGAGGATACAGTTCAAGATCCTGGTCCTAACCTTCAAAGCCCTCCATGGATTTGCTCCCCCCTACCTCTATGACCTCCTAATCCCCTAACAACCCCTACCTCCTGATGTGAAAGGTGCTATACAAATGGAATTTGTTGTTATATTGTAATTGTTTATTGTAAAAAAAATAAGGAATTTGCAGCTGGTTCTTATTTTTCCGATTAGCAAAGGATTGTAATTGTGTTTATTAAAGCTAATTTGTTGACTGCTTTCAAAAGCTGTAATGATTAAGGAGCAAAATAATTGCTGACGGCCACTGTCACCCTGATCATGGTAAGCATTGAGCTTCTGAAACAACCAAAGTGTTTACTGTCACATTTTGGTGTTGACTGTATCAATCATCATGTATGTATTAATTTGATTTCTGATTTTAATTAGTGTGTCCAAAGAAACCCTGAGAAGAGGAAAGAAGTCTGACTACAGCCTGTTCAAGGGAAATACACTGATCTTAACAAACACTACCTTGAATGTAATAAGACTTGTTGGTGAGTATGAACACTTTCAAGCAAATGTTAAGGATACTGTTAAGGATACCGTTAAGGAGAGTTAAGGATCTTGATCTCGAGACATGTAATAAAATATTCTATTTTGGATTACAATATGGATTCAACAGTAGAAAGCACAGAGATTATTCCTTGGTGTTGAGGAGGCCTGGATCCCTTTGTGAATTATCTGCTTCTTAATGGCAGTTTGATGTTTGAATATCCCACTGCTCCCCAGGGAATCCCTTTCTTTATGCCATTGTTAAGCTTATAATAATAATAATAATCCTTGCATTTGATATAGCGCTTTTCACGTCTTCTAGATGTCCCAAAGCACTTCACAGAATATACTGTAAAGTGAATTGACTGTATATTTGTGGGAGAACGCGGCAGCCAATTGCGCACAGCAATGTCCCACAAACAGTCGTAGATTGAAAATGACCAATTTATTATTGTTTTTTGTTTTGGAGGGATTATTATTTTTAATAATAAGCTTAAATTTTTTTTTAAAAAAGTCCAGTAAATGTTGGTGATACTGGTCGTCTGTGATAAATACATAAGAAATGCTAGATGAAAAAAGACCATGGTCCATCTAGTTCGCCTTCCACCTTCCTGGTGGTCGCATGCACATATGTCTCAAACTGCCTTATGTTCCATCCGTTACTTAACCAACATAACCTATTGCTCTGAAGATCAAAAACATGATCGAATTATTCTACTTATTTCTTATAAATTTACTATCAGTATGATGATTATGCAGTGAATCAGTTAACAAGTCATAAGCATTTTAATTAGTCACCCCCAACATTAACTCTGAGCACCATCTGTCTGCCTGAGCACTCTCTTCTCTGTCCCAGGTGACACTATTTGATAGGTTTTTCAAAGATGTAGCAAGCAGTGAATTATTACAAGATTTAGATTGTACGAATATTGAAATACTCAGCCTGTCACAGCTACCACTGGAAATGGGTGCAACCCATATGAGTGCTTGCTGTGATCTATTCGCAGCTCTCGACTGGCTCACTAAGCAACCTGTGAACTTTCAACAAAACTTTTTTTTATTGTTTTTATTGTTTTATTGTAAGGGTTAGACATGATTTTGGTGGAGGGGGGAAGCCTCTTTTTCCCTGTTGTGTTTAATTGTGTTTCTCTTTATAATAGTCTAAGGTGGTAGCTAAGCACCTTCACTCCAGATTAGTATAAACACAGGGATCAAAAGATCCAAGTCAAATGAATGTAACCTAAACCAGTTACAGGATTTGTGAGTAATAAGCACACATTTATAGACGTACTTAAAGTACAAGTGAACAAATCATTTATTTTCCCCTTTTTTTAAAAAAAAACATTTCCTCAGGGAAGAGGGGAATGAGCCTTGTTTCCTTGACATCATGGCCAAAGCACTGTTGCATAAATATGTTAATGTGTGTGTATATATATATATATATATATATACACACACATATCATTCAACAAGGACACATCACAAGGTGTAAAGCATCAACAATGAATGGCAGGAATTTACATTTTTGCTTTTCAGAAAACTATAGCAGTGCTACAGTCAAACATTTTTTTATGTGTGTCATAACACCTGAAGAAACCCATCACCATGCTAAACCAAACTGAGATTTCCATGCATCCCACCTACACATGGAAATCCCAGAGCTGGATTGTTGGAATGGAATGCGCACTCTCCCTGGAGGGACACATCCTGTTCACCTAATTCTGGGTCGCAGGTTGGCAAGAGCCAAGGCTTGGGGACCCCAGAGTGTGAATTGGGGTACTGTTGAAGATTAACCAGCTAAAACCGCACAGCTTGCTATTGATATCACTGTCCGGCAAGCTTTCGCTGCTTGTCCAGCTAGGACCACCCTACCCATTAGGGCTTTGGATTGCAGGGTTAACAGGAACTGAGTGGGATGACTCCCTGCCCCCAGTGACTGGTCTGCCCTTCCAGGTCTGTCTTTTAGCCAGGCTGGCTGTGGTACCATCAGCAGTGCCCTGGAATACTGCGGACCGCCTGGCTCAGAAACTGGACTACTAAGACCAACACAGAGGGCTGACTCGATTCCGACATTCCATTGCACTAGCAGTTGAATAAGACGTACATTGTCCATCTATCGTCCAGCCTGGCTGTAATTCAGATAAATTTTGCCAGTGTCATAAGCTGTCAGCTGTTTGCAAGGTCACCTGAAGCTTCTTTTTTTCCTGTCACCCTGGGTTCTGCTACTCAGCCAAAGCCTGACAAAAAGACTTTACTGCTGAGACTTGCAGTCTGAAGCTTCAAACTGCTCAGGGACTTGAATTAAAGCAAATGTCCTTTGCACTATGCTTCTGGGTTAGTCAGTTTTAAGAGGAACATATCCCTCAATGCCATGTTTGTCAGCATTCCCCTGTGACTGTGTCTTGCTGATACATATCACCTACATGTTAAATGTAGACAGAATTTGCTGATTGCTATCTCCATGATGTAAAAGGTGATGTTGATATGAAATGATGCTCCACAGATCCTGCAAATGACAAAAATGGCTATTTATGTACTGGAGAAAGAATTGAGGACATAGAAACAGAAGGCCATTCAGCCCCTTGAGCCTGTTCTACCATTCCATAAGATCATGGCGAATCTGTAACTCAAGTCCAATTACCCGCCCTTGCCCCGTATCCCATATATCCTGACCTAACAAATATCTATCCACCTCAGTCTTGAAAATGGGAATGGATCCAGCATCCACAGCCTTTTGGGGAAAGAGTTCCAGATTTCCATTAACCTCTGGCTGCAAAACTGCCTCCTCATTTCACTCCTAAATGGCCTAGCGTTAATTTTAAGATTACGCCCCCTGGATCTGGATTCCCCACCAGAAGAAATGGTTTCTCTGTATCTAATAATAATAATAATAATACCCTATTGAATCGCTTTATAATAATAATAATCCTTGCATTTGATATAGCGCTTTTCACGTCGGGAGGACGTCCCAAAGCGCTTCACAGAACACACTGTAAAGTGAATTGACTGTATATTTGTGGGCGAACGTGGCAGCCAATTGCGCACAGCAATGTCCCACAAACAGTCGTTGATTGAAAATGACCAATTTATTATTGTTTTTGGTTTTGGAGGGATTATTATTAGGCTCTGTGTGGAGTAAGGAAACTTGCCCAAGGTTTCGCCCTCTGCCTGGAATTGAACTCAGGTCTCTCGCTTGCAAAGCGAGTGCTCTAACCACTGAGCTACAGGACTCCATTATTTTATGAATACTTTTATGAGTACTTTTCCTGGGGAAGTCAGATCGGAGGCTGTTGTAATTATGAAGACAGAATTGTTGGTGGTTTTCCACTATTATAATTGACAGAGACCACACATATTCACAGAGATGGTAGATTTTAGAGTGCATCTTTGATACAGGTGCTTGAACGAAACAGGATAACTGTTACAGGTGGAGGCAGTGATACTTTGGCACTTCATTCACTGCTGCACTTTGAAAGGTCTGGAGACTTTTTCAGTTCCTAGAGCAGACCAACCAAGAAGCCCTCATTCCAGTCTGCTTGCTATCTTACTCCCTTTTTTCCCCTTATTTTGAGAACTCTCCAACCCCTCCTCCCAGACTGTTTGTGGGACACTGCTGTGGGCAATTGGCTGCTGCGTTTCTCCTACAAAATACAGTCAATTTGCTTTACTGTATGTTCTGTGAAGCACTTTGAGATGTCTCAAATATACTATAAAGCGCTATATCAAATACAAGGATTATTATTATAATATAGATAACCTGCTTCTTGATCTGTGCTAAGAAGCTGTGAAACAGAATGGCAAGAAGTGCATCTGAATATCCTAGGTTATTATACTAGGCATCTGCCATGCTCTTGCATTCAGGATCAAGCCAATTGGGAGCTTGCCATATAGGGAAATCTCAGAGCCATAGCCATATTTTAGCATTTTGGTGGCAATCTGTTTCATACAATTTCCTCTGCTTCCATGAAAACTGGTGCAGAATGTTAAAACTGTGTTTGCCCAATTTTAGAGAATGCTAGGACTGGAGATAGAAGATCCAGAGTTTAAAATAACGTATTGCAATTTTGAATTCTAGAAGTCAAAATATCATAAGTATTTCAACATTAAATATTATCGAGCATTTTTTAAAGGTCAATTTTTCATTATTTGAATGTTAAGGTCACATAATACTATCACTTTTCTATTTTTGGAGGGAAGAGATTTCTGCTGTTCAATTCGTGGCACAGAATCATTTCCTTTTTTTCTGCATTATCACACAGTGGGGTGGTTTGTGATTATGAGCATCCATTCATGCCAGGTGGATAGCATTTTAATAGGTTGTATAATGGATTTGGAAGAGCCAGGTGGCTGGTGTGCTAAGCAACTGGCTCTCGAAGCCTCGAGACCTGCTATGTGGGGGTGGATGCTAATGTGCGAACTAGCAATTAGCCATGGTGTTCCCTGCCAGCTGAAAGGAACATTCGTCTTACCAAGGTCATCCAGATCCTTGCCATTGGGATGACGAGTTTCATTCACAGGGGATGGAGCCTAAAGTATTTATTAGATGTTCCTTGTGGCAAACACAAACAGCTGGATCAGTCTGGACCACAGTTCTGTGTTGAGATGCACGTTACTTGAGTGCAGCTGAGATTCCAGAGATTGGAATGTGTTAGTGTCCAGAGGGACTTGGGTGTCCTTGTACACCAATCACAGAAAGTTGGTCTGCAGGTACAGCAGCAATTAGTAAGGCGAACGGTGTGTTAGCATTCATTATGAAAGGATTAGAGTATAAGAGTAGGGAAGTCTTGCTACAACTGTGTAGGGCTCTGGTGAGACCACACCTGGAATACTGTGTCCAGTTTTGGTCTCATTTAAGGAAGGATGTACTTGCCTTGGAGTGGGTGCAGAGTAGATTTACTAGGTTGTTTTGGCTACAGAGATTTGTTGGTACTAACCATCCACACCTTCAAAGAGTGAGGTAGATAGATTTTTGGTAGGTCAGGGTATTAAGGGACATGGGGAGAAAGCGGGAAATTTCAATTGAAAGGATTAGTTGATTAGTTGATCAACCATGATCTAAATAAATGGCGGAACAGGCTTGAAGGGCTGAACGCCCTAGTCCTATGTTTCTATGTTGGGCAAGTTTCCTTAGTCCAGTTCCAGTTATTTACAACAAATCTCTGTAGCCAAAACAACAAATTAATTCCTTATTTTCTGATTTTACTTTGAATAACATTTATCGTTTACTTGTATGTGAAAATTAAAATTGGATTGAAAGACATTCAGATGGGGAACAATGCTGCACATTGAGTTGTAGGACAACAGTTCTCACTAGCATTTCAAACAGATATCAAACCACCAGGGGAGAGAAAGATGGTCTGTCTCACTGAATGAAAAACTATACAACAAGTCAAACTATGCCACCTCTCACTAGTTTCAGGTTTGGATACACACCAGTATTAGCAGAGAGTACAAGGAATATAAGCAGTAAAACTCCAAGTGTGTCTACACTTATTTTAATTATGAAGCATTTCAGAATACCCAGATTTAACAAATTCTCAAATACAGCCAATAGTCTCATTGTGGAGTCCTGTAGCTCAGTGATTAGAGCATTCGCCTTGCAAGCGAGAGACCTGGGTTTGATACCCAGCAGGGCGAAATGTTGGGCAAGTCTCCTTACTCCACACGCCTCTGTTTACCTCGCAGTAAGTAGAAACCCGATTTTTAGTCGATAGGAGGATTGCTTTTCGGGGGTAATAATTCCTTCAAAAATAATAATAATAAATTGGTCACTTCAATCCTCGAATGTTTGTGGGACACTGCTGTGCGCAATTAGCTGTTGCATTTTGCCCACTGAATATGCAGTCAATTCACTTTACAGTATATTCTGTGAAGAGCTTTGCGACGTCTCGAAGACATGAGAAGGCGTTATATGAAATGCAAGGATTATTTTTATTATAATGCTGGCTGAGTGGCTGAATAATTTGTAGAACGTTTCTTAATTATTCTTTTTTCCTAATTGTTAACATTTTTAGCACAAATTTATGTCACCAAAAGATTGAAACAACTTGTTACATGAATTTTTGCATCTTTGTTCAGAAGGCAGATTCTGAAGTGGGCATTAATTTTCTCTTGTCTGAAGCAACTGGCAAAATATCACAGACCTTTTCAGCTGATTACAAAAAAGAATGTCATCTGCTGTATTTAGAGGTTTGCTTCTGAGTGTGTGGAAAAGTATAATTTGCTACTGCTGTTTCAACAGTATTAAGACGTCACAATGGGAGGAATGGTCCAAAGAGATTATTTTCTGTTAAGAGTTGCTTTTCCTTTTTCCAGGGAAATACATGCAGATGATGAATATCCTGAAACCAATTGCTTTTGATGTTATCCACTGCATGTCACAACTGTTTGATTACTACCTGTACGCAGTGTACACATTCTTTGGGCGAGAGGACATGGTAAGTGTTGATGCTTGTATCCATTCTAATAATATATTTATTACCCATGGGTAGCCATCAAGTGCTCAGCTGTATTTGTAGACAAACCATTTTTTTTGTTGGAAATTCCAGTTTGGATTCCTCCATCTGGATTTGGATTCAGGAGCACCTTCCTTGAAAATTATCGACCTTTACTAATGCTGTAGTTCTAACTCTCTTGTGATATTTCCAACTCATTTAAACGTAGTGAAGTGTAAAATCAGTTTTAAACTATGTCAGTTTCTCAATTGGTTTTTAGTCCTTCTTGACAAACATTCATTGGTTCAGTAGAACTATCTTATACTTAGGTGTCACTAGGTTATCTAGGTTATCTTCAACTCAGACTGAATGTTTGACTTAGATGTTCTTCCCATTATTTGTGTAAAAATAATGGGATCTGTAGTCCATAGGAAATTAATTAGCTTTCCAAATAATTACTTTCATGTTTTGTGCCTCGGGTTTGTGATTTCTTTGCTTGCCTTGGTTAGAATAAGTTTCATGAGATCCTAAGGGGTGCACTGTGTGATAAAGCTGTATTCTATGCCAAAGCAAAGAAAATCTGTTAGCATGCCTACCATCAGCTCAACCTAGAGCTTTTGTGGCAGTAATCAATCGGTGAAACTCTTGCCGAGACTGGCACGTGTACCTAACTAAAAAGGGTCATGTGCAGCTGGAAGATTGTGATGGAATAGGCAATTCTTAAATGCCATTAAATCATTAGTTCATAATTAGGGCTGTGTTTCTGTTACAGACATGGGTTGTGTCATATTAATAATAATCCTTGTGCTTGATAAGCACTTTGAGATAGTCCATTAAGAGTACATTTGAAAGCACGTCACATGATTTACTGTGAAGTGCAGTGACTATGTATTTTATAGACTATATTTTGCAGGTGATCGCTATTTTTAAAGTCTGCCTTAAGACCTATGTTTTCAATTGCACTTTAGTTGCCTTTCATCCACCCCTTCCTCAGGTCTTGCTTTCTCCAGCTTGAGCTCCCAGTAAATGCTGCTATGTTAATGCAAATTGTTATCTGTGTTAACCAGCAAAAAACAAAATTTCTTGTGGTGGTTTTCTGGGCTTCTGTAACCATTCTTGTTTTGCTCTCCTGTCCTCTCATCAGCATGCACATTAGAATTAGGCTATCATTGAGCTCCAGTGTGTACCCCAAACAACCTGCCAAATGCCTGGATAATTTTTCATTAATTTTAAATTGGGATTTTAAATTGTGTATGGAAAGCTGGTACCTAATGGTGGTAATAATAATGACCTGCTGCCCTACTTCCTCTGCTTCGTCTTTGTGCTACAAGTCTGCATCTCAACAGATATCTCCAGATTCCTCTGGGGATCTGGAGAATTCTGGAATGAGTTTTAAAAATAACTTCTCTCAGTGTCAATCACTACTAATTAATAAGCTGATCTGCGGCGTTTGAAAATATTTTTCACTTGGCAATAAGGCTCTCGAAATTTACAGTTCGTATGAGAAACTTCAACACCAGGATGGTGACTTGTAGTACTTTGTGTTCACTACAGGCTATTCTTCCTTTACAGTATGAATCCACAGGGTTGGGGCTAATCAGCAGCAGACTGCGAACCACACTGAACAGAATACAAGAAAGTCTCATCGATCTGGTAAGGGAGTGGTTCTCCTAATGTAATTTTTGTTGAATTAGCTAAATAATGAAGCAGTTGAATTTAGTTTGTTTGACCCTGTTTGACCATCTACTATTCTTTCTACCCCATATCCGTGCCATGTCCAGCTCTGCCTTCCCCTACCTCCGCAACATCGCCCAGCTCCGCCAATGTCTCACACCGCAGGCTGCCAAAACCCTCATACATGCATTCATAACATTGAGGCTTGACTATGCAAACTCTCTGCTCATCAGCCTCCCCAACTCCTCCCTCCATAGGCTACAGGTTATCCAGAACTCTGAAGCCCGTGTCCTCTCCTGCACTAGGCTCCGCGACCCTATCACCCCCATCCTTGCCCAACTCCACTGGCTTCCCATCACACAGAGGATACAGTTCAAGATCCTGGCCCTCACCTTCAAGGCCCTCCATGGCCTTCCTTCTTCCTACCGCTGCGACCTCCTAACCCCCTACCAACCTGCCCACTCCCTCCGCTCAGCGGGCTCCAGCCTGCTTCAAGTTCCCCACCTCGCCTGCACCACCATTGGAGGGCGGGTCTTCAGCTACTCTGCCCCCATCCTCTGGAACTCCAACCCACAGTCCCTTCGCCTCGCGCCCTCCCTTGCCTCCTTCAAGACCCATCTCAAGACCCTCTTCTTCAACCATGCCTTCGATCACCTTCCATGTTTCCCGCCCGACCTGCCCAACCATCGGTGGCCGGGCTTTCAGCCTCTCTGCCCCCACACTCTGGAACTCCATCCCACGGTCCCTTCGCCTCGCTTCCTCCCTTGCATCCTTCAAGGCCAGTCTCAAGACCCTTCTCTTCGACCGTGCCTTTGGTCTCTCTCCCACCTCTCTGTCTTGCCTCACCCCTACACCACCCCTTCCCCATGCTTGGGCCCCGACACCTGACAGTTCAACGCTTTTGGACGTACTTCTGATGTGAAAGGCGCTCTATAAATATAATTTTGTTGTTGTTGTTCCCACCCTCCCGGATCCCGACCCCCAGCTCGGGTCCGAAACACTGACTGTCCAGTGCCTTGGGATGTCCTCCCGATGGGAAACCGCTATACAAATGTAATTTTGTTGTTGTTATTGTATTCCACTAGCTTGAGAGACCCTACTTGCAAAAAGGTTGATGACCTTCAGGGTGACTGTTTTGGTTTCAGTCATAGCCAGGCGGAGACTGGTTGCTAAGTTTTGTGGAGAACTTTTAAGATTTAAGGATTTTATTGGGAGAGGAAGAAGCTGCAGTCAAGTAGATAGGCATGGAGTTCTTACAAAAATAAAAGGCTGAAATGTGCAAACATTTAATGTTGTCAGTTTGATTGTAAGAATTGTCAAGGGGGAGCCTTATATCAGTGTCTGGCAGTACCTGTTCAAATGTTTAAAGTTAAACATGTTTGTGTAATTTTTTAATCATTCAAGAGGAGTTCTGCCTATCATGATGACCAGTCATCAAATGCTTGTTGTGCACATTCTCAGAGCATGGAGATAGAGTGTGCTCGACACATAATCCACCACTTGGCTATCAGACAAACAAAATAACATGCAGTATTGCTGAAAGGTATTGCTTCAATCGTAAGGTCTAAGTACTGATTAACTCAATCATTTGGTTTAAAATTCTTCATTCCAGTTCAGCTGTAGAAAACGATAAGATCTAAACAGTCTGTACCTGTATCACCTTTGCTTTATGCTGGCAAAAGCGCCTCTGATGTAATCTGTGTTTCTCCATGAAAATTCTCCATTCTATAGCAACTCTGCTTGCTGTACACAGGTTTCCAAACAGAAAACGCCTTTTATATCTTGGGCGTATTTTCCAAAGGTCACACAGCATTGACAAGGTAGAGCGCTTTTTATACCCGGGCCTTTCCAAAGTATGGGATCACTTTCATGTAAGGCTTCAATATCTGAGGAAGCAGCAGATTCAACAACTTTTCAGGACAGAGTCCAAGTTGTCTTCAGTTCAATATGAAGAAAGCAGCAATTTCAGTCTGAGACAGTTTCTTATAATAGAATTGGAATGTCCTGCTCTCTCTGTTTCATGGCATTCTTCATCACCTTCATTTCTATGACTTGTATTTTTAATAGAAAATTAGTTTTCATTAGGAAAGATCTAGTGTAGAGCAATATTATTCTGGATTCCATTACAATACCAAGATCACAAGCTTGATTCTGTTTGGAATCAGAAGTCAATCCATTATAAACCCTTTGCTTTGAAAGTCCCAATTTGTGACACATTCTTGAAAGCAGAAAGAGTTTAACCCTGGCACCATCACTGAGAAAATATTTTAAGTTTAACATTGAAAGGTGGAGCATTTTGTGTAAATTAAAGTAAGTTTTCTTACTTGGGCTTTGAGTCACAAGTAGTTCAGACCTACAGTTTAATGTGAAAAAGAAATGCTCACTTTTCAAAGAAACCAACTTGTTGAATATGTGAAAACATTAACCGTTGTTCAATTTTAAAAAAAAGTTTAATATTCAATGATACTATGAAATCGAATCTTTAACATTTCCTACACTGCTAAAACCATGTTCAAGGATGAGTCTGGTTTGTTGAAGTACTCCCATATCACACAAAAAATAACCTTTGCTACCCAGATGAATGAAAAATGTTCCTGTTCTGCGTGTTGACTTCTTCTGTATAGATACATGGCGATACTTGTATTCTGTATTTCATGACTTCTACATGAACACACATAGAAATCTACAGTACTGAAAGAGGCCATTCAGTCCATTGAGTCTGGCTCTGGCTCACAGAACAAGGAAATCACTTCAATATTTAGACCTTATTCATATATCTCTTCAATCCCCTCTCTTTAATATGCCTGCCTTTCCCTCTTGAAAGCTACAATGGACTCTGCCTCAGCCACCCAACTTAGCAGGGCATTCCACATCCCAACCACTCTGGGTGAAAAATTCCTCCTAAGTGCATTGTTCGCTCTTCTTGTGGCAATCGTATAACTATGGCCTCTAGTTACTGTCTTCCCTACCAATGGAAAAACTTCTTTTTATTTACCCTAACAAAACCTCTCAGGATTATGTACACCTCTATCAGGTCTCCCCTCAACCTTCTCTGCTTCAATGAAAACAGGCTCAGCTTCTTCAATATCTCCTTGTAACTGCAGCCCTTCATTCTCATAAACATTCTCGCTCCGAGGGGACACAACTCCTTTACGTAACTTTCTCTGTGGCCCCCAACTTCAAGACGGTGATCTGGAACCGGGCTACGTGACACTCTGCACACAGAATGGGAGGGGGCAGGCGAGCCCCAATCACCTGCATGTTGATGGAATTTGCTGACTGCACTACATGGGGGAGGGAGGGAGAAGAGTGACTCCTGAGTGCAATACACAGGGCTGGGGGATGCAGAGGCTTAACTGACTGCTCGCAATAAAAACAACAAATTACATTTTTATAATGCCTTTCACATTGGAAGGACGCTGAGCAAACCTCTCATTGTGGAAACTCTGTACCATCATTGGAAAGCTCCACACAGCGGCCTTCACAGATGGGCTGTTTTGTTGGTGCGAAGGGAGAGAAGGACCAAAGGCCCTTAAATAAACCAAGCCTAAGTGTTGAGAAAATGTATGTTATGGAAAATAATTTGATTATGTGCAATTTTCAAACAATCTTCTAAATCGTTTTTGTTTATTCTTGACATTATTTTGAACTATTATATATTTAGTGTATCTTTATTTTGTTCCTTTGTTAGTTTTCCAATTATGGATTAATCTGTTTTGGTTTTGTCTATAGGGGCCTCTGAGTTGATCTCTTGGGTTTTGATTTTAATACATAAAAATTAACTTCATAAAATTAAATTGTAATTTTCCATTTGAGATTATCATTATTTTGTTCATTATTAGGGCTATTAAATTATTTACATTTTAATTAACTTAATAATTTCTTTCACTTTCATTGTTTACTCTGGATTTAATGGTTTCTTGCATATATGTACATTATTACTGTCTTTTCTTCCCCACATCCAAGCCATGACCCGCTCTGCCTTCCCTCACCTCCGTAACATCGCCTAATTCCGCCACTACCTCACCCCTCAGGCCGCTGAAACTCTTGTTCATGCCTTCATCACCTCCAGGCTCAACTATGCAAATGCCCTGCTTGTCGGCCTTCCTAACTCCTCCCTCCACAGACTGCAGATAATCCAGAACTCTGCAGCCCGTGTCCTCTCCCGCACCAAACTCCGTGACCCCTTCTCCCCCATTCTCGCCCGACTCCATTGGCTCCCTATCCTTCAGAGGATCCAGTTCAAGATCACGGTTCTACAAAGCCCTCCGTGGCCTCACCCCACCCTACCTCTGCGACCTCCTAACCCCCTACCAGTCCGCCTATTCCCTCCGCTCAGCCGGCTCCGGCCCTGCTCCAAATCCCCCGACCCACCCGCCCCACCATTGGCGGGAGAGCCTTCAGCCACTCTGCCCCCAACCTCTGGAATTCCATCCCCCAATCACTCCTCCTCGCCCCCTCCTTAGCCTCTTCAAGTCCCGCCTCAAGACCCTCCTCTTCAACCATGCCATCGGCCACCCCCCTTCCCGTCCCCCACCCCCACCCCCCCCCCGACCCCAGCTCAGGTGTGAAATGCTGTACACTGTCCAGGGCCTTGGGACATTCTCCCAAAGTGAAAGGTGCTATACAAATGTAATCTTGTTGTTATTGATAAGAGTATTATTGTTCTAAAATTTGTATGGGTTTTTACGTTGCCTATTTAAACATGGTATTGAAACTAAAATTGAGTAATACAGTTACACAATTTAAAGCATAGGATTTCTATATGATTCTCAAGGGTTATGTTTCTGGAAGGGAAACACAAAAATATTGCTTATATATTGCTTAAATGTTTCTCAAATCCGGCATCCGGTCCTCAGCAACCAAAAGCTTGGACTCTGATTTATACAATCTTAGCAGATCAAAAATGAAAAAATTGGGCTGCTGTTAGTGTAAAATGGTTCCTTCCTCAAAATTTAGTTTGGTCAAAAACTCTGCAG